AAGATTGGGCGGGGGTGGGGGGTGGCGGTGGCGGAGGGGGGCTGGATGGGTGGTCGTGGTGGTCAGAGTCATATACTGCCCTGAGGATTGAGGGAGGACCTGGGAGTAAACATCCTCACCAAGAAGCCCAACTGAGAGTGGAGAATAAACCCCTCCCTGGGACGGGGCCCAAGAGGAACTCGAATAAGGACTGGGTATTTTACATGTTTTCTACTATAAAGCAGAAGTGGAGACTGGATAGTGCAATAGCATACGTGCTGGGCTGCTCACTGCAGGGTTGGCAGTTCAAACTCTGCAGTTTCTCCTAGGTCGAAAGATGAGACTTTCTGCTCCCGTGAGGGTTGCAGCCTCGGAAACCCAGAGGGGCGGTCCTACTCTGCCCTCCTGAGTGGTTGAATCTAAACCACTGCAGTGCCCATGGGTTTTATTTGATCTGCAAACAATGGCGCGGATTCCCTTTCCCTTTTAACCTGGCCCTGGTGATGTTGATCGATGTCTTCATGGTTTTCCCCCAGATCAGTACGCCAAGCTGGTGCCCTATCCAGTGGACGCGGGGGTGAGCCTGCAGACCATGCCTGGGGCTGCATGTGTCCACTCAGATGCACATGTCCGCTGGTGGCCGCCCTGGACCAGCTGTGACAGGTTGAATGTGACTTTTGTCTCACAGACTGTGGACATATTGTGTCCCCCAGGGCACACTGGACTCAGCAGCAGGGGTCCTGGCCTGGAGGGGAGGGCCACAGGGCCCCTGTGGCTGGTTAGGATTGGTTGAGCGAGATCCAGCCACAGGCTTAAATGGGGCACCAGTGTCGCTGATCCTCCAGGCTCTGTCCCCATGTGAGCCAGCCTAGCCATCTCAGCAGCTGCAGATGGGAGCGGATGACTGGCCCATACTAAGAGGAAGAGACTCAAGCCATTAAACTGCTTGTCCAAAGTCACACAGGGGCAGGAAATCTGACCTGCTTCTCGGGCCAGACAGCGAGGGAGCCCACTTGGGGCTCAGCCCAGGAAGTGGCCTGGGGCTTCGGCTCTGTTGGTGGCTTGGTCCTGTTAACAAGAGTGCTCTCTCAGACACCTCAGCTCACAGCCCCGCCCTCAGCCTTCCTGCCCTGGGGCAGCCCTGGCTTGTCAGGAGGATTAAGAGGGCATGCAGGCCCGTCTCCCCAGCACTTCCCTGCCTGCCATCTTGAAACAGTTTGGGACCCTGACAGCTGGGAAGTTCTGGAATCCTGATAAATTCTGCTCTTCTCCTGCAGCGTGCTGACCACATGCGTCTCCCCATCCCCCCTGCTCCCCGAGGGCCTGCTGAGATGCCCCTGAGGGGCACCCACGAAGGACAGCCCTGCGCCTTCCTGAGGAGCTCACAGGAGCTTCCTGTCACCAGACAAGGACATGCCCACAGTCCCTCAGCCCTGTGCTCTGGACACGTCCACCTCTGCCCCCTGCCCTGTCTGGTCCTGCCATGGCCTCCCGAGGGCACAAGCAGAGTATGCGAGACGTGTGGTGACAAAGAAGGACCCAGTGGTATGGGACAGCAGGGATGGAGAGCCCACAGACCTGCCCGGCCTCCCCCAAAAAACAAACCACTCAGGCTTAAACCAGCGCCATCAATCATCAGCCATGATTGCTCAACCTCTGGCCCCAACATCTGTTCTGAGCTGTGCTGTTGGCAGCTGTGGTACGGCCGGCCGGCAGAAGGACCCAGTGGGCTGCCAGGGCGCTGGCTCCTCCAGGGCCGCCCTTTCCCTCCAGGCTCAGCCAGAAGGGGGTCTGCATCCTGCAGCCAGGAGGCAGCAGACCAGAGCAGCTAAGAGCTCTGCAGCCTGTGGCCTGGGTTCAAATCCCGCCTCTGCCCCTTTCCAGCTGTGGACTCTCGCACACAAGGTGCTTAGCTCTCGTGGCCTCTGGGCTTGCATCTATAAAAGGCAGAGCGAAACTGCATGTTCCTTATAAAGCTGGGGTGCAGGCCAGGCGAGCCAGTGCAGACGCACACTGTACCTGGGGCTCAGGTTTGAAGCGCGGCTCCTGCGGAGCCTGAGCTGGAGGAAGAGACAGATGGCCACGCCCTTTCTCCAACGAGAAAGCTGCTGCTTACACAGAGCTCTAAGGCCCAGACCAAAAAACCCAACCAATGCCATTGAGTGGTTGCTGACTCAGACTGACCCTTGGATAGGGTAGACTTCCCCTTTGTGTTTCTGAGACTGTCACTCTCTGACGGTGTCGAAAGCCCCCTCTTCTCCCTTGGAGCAGTGGATGGCTTTGAGCAGCTGCCCCTGCGGGTAGCAGCCCAAGGAGTAACCGCTACACCAACAGGCAGTGTTTCCCACAGTGGGTGGTACTGCCCCCTGGTGGGCACTGACAATCCAGGGAGCTGCACAAGCATATCCCCACACTGCATCCTGGATCATGGGCTCTCATTGCGGGCCGAGGAGGAGCACGCGTGCGCGCGGTGCTGAGTGTTTTTTCCTGAAAGGGAGCAGTAGGCTGGATAAGTTCGGGGACTTACGCTCTGAGTGAGGGTTGGTGAATCATCAAGCCCAGCTAACAGCCTGACCAGGGAGACGCAGCTGCAGCCACAGCATTCTCAACAGCAAACTCACTGCCAGCAAGATGGTGTCAACCTAGGGACCCTCGAGGACATGGTCGAACTGCCCGAGAGTTTCCAAGACTCGCTCTTTACAGGCGTGGGAAACCCCTGCTGTCTCCCATGCAGAGGCTGCTGGTTTCGAACTGCTGACCTTGGGATCGACAGCTGGGCACGTAACCACTCTGAGTGATCACATCGCCAGTGGTGTCAGCTCTCTCACAGCAGAGCTGGGAGGGAAACTGGTGACTGTCCCACATGTCACCGCTGGGGTCCCTCCGGGCCACGGGGTACCTCAGGTGGGGGTGGGGTGGGGGAGGCAAGCAGCCACCACCCAGGGTGGCTGTGGGCAGAATGAGATGTATGCCACGCAATGGGGCTTGCGTAGGTGCTTGAAAGATGGGTGCTGTGGTCCTGGACCAGCCCTGGGCTGGTATCCGGAGAACAAACTTCCAAACTGGGTCTACAGCTGCCAGTTAGTGTGTCTCAGCCCAGGCCATGGTCCTCACAGGGTCACAGGGATGGGACTCCATGGTCCCAGCCCCCGGGCAGCCAAAGCGGCCTCAGGATCCCATCACCACACAGCCATGGCCCCTCAGCGGGGACTGCCATTGAGGTACAGACTCTCATCCCCAGGGAGCTCACCCGTCAGGCTGGCGTTTCAGCAGGCTAGTCAAAGCCCGCTCCACAGGGGCTGGAGCGGCCTTGCCCCTGGGCCTGCCTGACCACCTTGAGGAGAAGCCTGAGAAAGGGTTTTCTCCCTGAGGCTGTTCCCAGGTGCTGTGACGTTATTCTCAAATAGGCTGTTGCTTCAGCATTGGGGGTGGGGATAAGGAATAAAAACGTTAAAACTTTTAAAATGTTTAACATTGTTGGAGTAATTCAAGAAATCCCTGAGGGTGGGCAGAACTTTACGCTCCGATATTGTGGTTTCTCGGGGGCGGGGCGGGGGGTAGAGAGCAAGGATTGTCATCTGGAATCCAAAGGCCACGCTGCCCTTATCTGGGCTGGCGTCCCAAACCAGGCCGCCTGGAATGCGTGCTGTGGCCTGAGATCTGCCCGGTGGCCGAGGCTGTGGGGGCTGGAGAGGCAGGCTGCCTCCCTGGGATTTGCGTGTCCGGCTAGAGGGTCCCAGGGCTGGGTCCCAGGGCTTTAGGGGACCCCCATCTCCAGACCACAGAGTTTACTAATGGACTGGGAGGGATTTAGACCAAGTCACACACCCTTCCAGGGCCTCTGCTTTCTTATCTGAAGTGAGGTTAAAGTACACTTCAAGTCAAGGCCAGACCCCGTGGGTTCATCCTGGCAGCTTGGGCCAGCAGGAAGGGCCTGGGCTTTATACCAGGGGCAGCCTCTTCCATGGTGCTCAGGCAGCTCCCCAGAGCACCCCAGGCCTGCTCCGTCTGGCCCCGGGCTGGGCTGTAGTAACTCTGTGACAGTCACAGTGTGTCAGAGTGACAACCCAGAGTGGGGACCGAGGAAGGTTTCCTGGAGGAGGGGGCCAGGAGACCAGTCCCAGAGGAAAGGCAGGAGAGGCTGAGGCTGGCAATGCAGGCACAGTACCCAGGGTGGGAGGCCACACCGGGTTTTGTGAGAACTATGGCCTGTCTGCCACAGTGGGGCAAGAGGGAGCCAGGGGCCCAGGCCTCCTGCGAGCTTGCCATGGGCAGGGGAGCCTGGGAGGGTCTTGAGGGGGGTGCCGAGTGATGAGAGGCAGAGAGGAGAGGAAGCACCGGGGTGCGGGTGTCCTCCAACAAGCTGTGCCCTGTGGGGACCTGCTGGATACCTGGTGGCCCTGGGCTCAGAGGATGGCCAGCGGTGGCATGCTCCTCCCACGCTGCATACCTGGAAGCAGCTCCTGGCCTGGGGCACGGCTACCCTTCCCCTGGCTGGCAGCCAGCTGTGTGGTGGCGTGGAGCTGCTGCAGTGCCAGGCACTCGGTCAGGACATCGGCCTCAGGGTCAGGGCCCAGGTGCAGCTGGGGGAGCAAGCAGAGAAGAGAGGGTGTTAGCACCTCCCGCCTGCCCACCGGTAACCCTCATTTCAGAGGACGGGCAAGCAGGACCTGGCCCCAGGCATGGCCCTTCACTCACTGCACCTCTGTCTCCTGTCTGTGGAGTGGGCACATGGTGCCCAGCACAGTGATGGTGGTGTTAGTCCCGGTGCATTGAGAGGCAGATGCCACGATGGGATTAGACATTCACTCCTGACGGGAGGGACAGCAAGGAGGGGCAGGCAGCGCAAAGGGCTGCTGAGCCCCCGGGAAGGAGAGAAAAGAGAAGCTCCTAGACTGTCTTGCGCCGAAAGGTCGAGCCTCCGGGGGTCTTGAGGGAGCCAAGTGAGCTCAAAGCCAGAGGAGCCCCATGTCTGCTGGGCAGGGGTCTGCCTCAGTATCCACCCCGGGGCCTCCTGGTAGCTGCAGGTCTGTGAGGCCCCTTCTCATGGCTGCTGCCAAGATGCCCCAGGAAACTGGTGGGCACAAAACCCTGTGGTGAAGCCTGGCTCACAGTCAGTGCGCGGAAGGAGTCTTCTTTTTCCCTTCCTGGTGTGCCACTGTACAAAGAGTCCAGGAGTAGGGCCAGAAGACCTGGGTTCAAATCTCACCCCACCACTTCCTATGCTGTGAGGCACTGAGCCTACGACATCGCCTCTCTCGCTCGGCAGCAGAAAGCTGCGGTGGTCACACCTCGGCCCGGGATGAAGGCTGTGGGTATGCTGGGGGGTGGCTGGCTGACCTCCAGCTGGCTGAGCCCCTGTGGCCACACACAGGTAGGGGGAAGGGTCGACATGTGGACTCCAGCTGGCCTGGGCTGGGCTGAGGTCCAGCAACCCAAGGGAGGGCAGAGTTTTGGCCAGAAACCCCTAGGCTGCCATCAAAGACAGACTTGAGCTCAAAGTCACCTTGGGGTGTCTTTTTCTCTTCCCCTAGGGCCAGGGTGAGGACAGGGAGCTGGGTCACAAGGGGCAGGCAGGAGCTTGGCTATGAGAGCCAGAGGCCAGAGATCCGCTCATCCGAACCCTCATTTTATCCAGGATGCAACAGACCAGAGAAGGCGAGCACCTTGTCCCATGTCACACAGCAGTTGAATTCGCCCCAAGGGTTTTTCCACCCTCCCAGGCCAGCAGGGCCAGGACCCAGCTAGTAGAAGGCATGCCCAGCCTCTCCCGGGCTCTCTGCTCCCTGACCCAGCAGCTGTTTTCCATGTAAATTAAGTTTCTGGCAAAAGCCGGCCAAGGCATGTTCTAGCAGACCGCAATGTCAATCGGATTAGGGGCAGCGGGAGAGCAGAATTAAGGAAGAAAAGCATCTCTAATTCTCTCTGAAACGCGGCGAGGCTGCCAAGGGGTTGTCATTAATACAAGGGTCGCTTTACCCAGAAAGATACATCATCCCCGACGACCGTAATGGATGCTCACTGTCGGGAAGTTTGCAGCTGTGTAGCCCCAGGTCTCTGGGGCTCAGTGCAGGCCAGGCACGGGGCCTGGGAAAACCAGGGCAGGACTCTGGTCCCTGGCCACCTCCCTGGCATGGAGCCCTACGGAGCTGAGCCTGGGCCAGTCCCTGCTCCCCGCTCAGGCCCCTCAGCCCCCCAGGGCAGTGAGCCTGGGAATGGAACCCGGCTCTATCCCTGCCAGACTGCATGGTCCAAGGAGAGTTTTGAACTCTGAGCCTCAGTTTCCACACCTCCAAAATGGGAACTTCCCAGGCTTATGCTGTGTGTGTGACCACGGCATCTCCAGAGTTGTGGCGGGGCTGAACCCAGCGTGGCCTCTGTGAGGCATCAAGCGTGGGGCCTGTGCCATGAGCACCCTTGGCCTCCTTGGGGTGAATGTGGGTGTGGGGCTTTGACCAGAGAGCAAGATCATGGCGAAGGCTCTCTGCTCCTGGCCTGCCTCTGCCCTGCAGCTTCCAGCAGCCTGTGGAGTCAACACTGAAGTCCCACAACCTGGCTGTTTCCCTAAGGAACTTCTTGCTCCCAGTGCCCCATCTCTGTATGGCTCAAGGGCCCCCAGCCAGGCTGCTCTCCCTAGCCTCTGTGTCACTCAGGCTTAGAACGGGGCTCAGAACCTCACAGAAGTAAGGGGCTCTTCTCTCGCTGCCTGTCCCTGGCTTACAGCGCTCCTCCCCATCCCTCACCTCCGTGGGATGCCAACACCCTTGATCCTGTGCCTCGGTGGCCCTCTGTAGATGGGGGTGGAATCCAGATGTGTGGGCTCTGCCCCAACTCTCAGTGTATCTCCTCTCACTGCAGCCTGGGCCCCTCAGCAGCTTACACTCTCTCTGGTCCAAACAAGAAACCCCAGTTGCCTCCCCAACACCTGCTTCTTTCCACCCTGTCTAGCATCTGCCTCCGCCTGGGCCCTCCTCTGAGACTACTCTGCTCCACCCCCACCCCCCACACACACCTGCCCTGCCACAGTCACAAGACCAGCCCCGCCCCTCCCAACACTTCCCATGCCAGGGCTCGGGCCCCACCAGCTTGCCTGCTCCCCAACAGTGGTCTTCCTGCTTCAGTCTCCCTCCGACACCCCAAGCCATTCTCTCCACACACCCCCGGGCCATCTTTCTAAAGCTCAAGGCAGCCAGGGACGAGACCCAAACTTGCCAGCCGCTTCCAGCCTTCAGCCTCGGCCTCTGCCCACACGGCCTCTGGTGGCTCTGCCGGCCGGTACATGCTTCTCACCTCCTGTCTTCTCCTTCCCCCCACCTGCCCCTACCCCCAAACAGAACCAACACATCCGCTCACTTCTGCTTCCAGTGTCTACTTGATGCTCCATACTATTCCGAGCCCTTCGCCCCCAGTGACTCAGGCAGCCTTTGTCGTCCCCAGAGGGGAAGCAGGGGACCGAACACAACGTTCGCGGGCATTAAGCAAATTGCTCAGTGGGCACATCCAGCAAGGGGCCTGGCGGGCTGGCTCCAGAGTCACTTCTCCTACGGAACCCCACTCCTGCCCCAGACGGGCTCAGGACCCCATGCCTGTGTGCGGACCTCTCTGCCTACACGTGTCACGGGCTTCTTGCACGTGCATTCTATCCAACAACCGTCTCTCCGTCATGTCACCTGCCAGCCCACTGAAGGTGGGGCCATGTTTTTCCATGTCTGCCTCTTCAATGCCTGACACAGAGCCTGGCCTACCTGTCTGTGGAATGAGCGGGGAGCTGATGGTGGTTGAGGATGGGTGAGTGGGCTGGGGAGGCATTCGGCAAATGGGTGGGAGGCAGATAAGCAGAGGGCCGGGCATCATGTCCTTCCCCTCTGTGGGTGTGTGGATGTCAAATGTACAAAGGCTGTGTGGGTACCTGGCCAGACAGGTGGGGCCTGTGGTGGGAGTGGAGGAAGTAGTTAGGGCCCAAAGTAAGGGCATGCTCGGATGGCTTAGTTGGGGTACGGGCTGCACCGCTGCATCGTGTAAGGGCTGGTGACAGCTGGCGCCACCTGCAGCCAGGTACCAGGTAAGAACAACCTGGGAGATTTAGGTGAGCCCTGCTCTGGATGTCGGGACTGCACATCCAGGCATTGGAGGGTGTTCGGGCAAATGCCGGGGGATCTCAGGCTTAACCCCTCTGTCTTGCTCTGGGGTGTATGACACTGCAGCCACAGGGGCAGGAGGTGGAGGTGGGAGGGCAGCCAGGTGGGGTCTGCAGGCAGAGGGAGGCCCGGCATGGCGGCTGTCTTACCTTCTTATGCACCTGCTGCTCTTTGGCTGAGTGGGCCTTCACATGCTTGCGCAGGGAGCTGGGGTCTGTGTAGCGCTTGGAGCAGCCAGGGATCTGACAGGCGTACGGCTTCTGTAACGGCAGGGCACATGAGTGAGGGCCAGGCACTTCTCAGGGGGTCCAGCTGTGTGATGTGTGTGTGTGTGTGTGTGAGAGAGAGAGAGAGAGAGAGACTGGGTGAGGGGACCCAGGCCCCAATCCCTGACTGGCCAGCCCGCAGGCAGGTGTAGCATCTGTGAGAGCAGTTTTTGTCTCCATTGGACACTCGGGCCCTCCCCTCTCAGCCTCATCTTCCCCTCTGCAGAGGGGCTCTGACTTCTAAGGGCCCCTGCAGCTCAGTCACGGGGCATCTCTGAGGGAGGAATGGAGGCCCTGCCACCCAGAGCCAGGAGCAAAGGGGAGGAGGCTGCAGAAAGCAGAGGAGAGGGTGCAAACACAGGACCCCAGGCTGGGAGGGGCAGAACACACCTAGCTCCCTGGAAACCTTGCTCCCTGTTCCGGACAACTATGTGACACCAGAAGGAGATAGGACCCAAGGGAACACGGGCTGGATCCCGTGGGGCTGGGCAAGTCCAGCCAGGGGCCCCACACTGCTCGTTTGGAAGAGGGAGCCCTGCCCTGCCCTGCCCTCCTCTGGTTGCTCCCCTCACGCTCTCAGCCTTTCTCCAGGGCTGCCAAAGCTGCAGTGGCGTCGACACCGACTCCCGCAGCCCTGTGTGCAGCAGGACTGCTCCCTGGGGCTTCCAAGGCCGGGACTAATCAGAAGCAAGTCACCGGGACAGTCCTGGGCCCCCTTAAGCCATCACTGCTCCTGAGCCTGCTCTGGCACTCCCCTTCCCACAGGCCCTGAACCTGTGCACATGCTGGCCCCAGTTTCTCTCCCGGGGCAACCTGCACGTCCCCCTCGTCTTCCCACCATCGCCTGTCACTTCCTCTCTGAGCTGTGCTCTAATCAACCCTCTTCCCACTCCACAAACGGCAGCTGTCGCCACCGACCTGTCCTGCTCAGTCCGCTTGTTTAGGGCCCCCATGTCTCTGCCGGGAGGACTCGGGCCTGACCCTCAGCTCTAACAGAACCCTGGTCTAGTCTGCAGGGGTCCCCCTACACCCTTCTCGGGAACACCAGCTGCCAATGGGGCTGGATGTCTATAAACCCCCCATTTTTGAGCCCTTGGTAGTGTAACGGTTGTGTGTTGGGCTGTTAACTGCAAGGTCAGCAGTTCGAGGCCACCAGCTGCTCCTTGGGAGACAGACGAGGTTTTCTATTCTCATAAAGAGTTACAACTACTTTCAGAAAATTATAGGTGGTTTTGAAAAGAGGTAGAATGTCAGGAGAGATGCCCATTGGTAGGAATTCTCTCTTTAGAATTCCAAGGAGAATGCCTACTGCCAACATTTTCCCAAATATTCTACTCATAAGCAGAGGCCTACAGAGCAGCGGCAGGGTTTCTTTGCGCCTGCCTGGCCGACGCGTGAACTTGGGTGCAGTGGAGGACGGCGGCCCACCAGAGGAAGAAGAGAGACCGGGGAGTGGGGGTAAGCCACTGAAGGGTTTCATTGTTGGTGTGCACTGTTGAACGCAAAGTCAACGATCTTAAAGGTAAACCTGCACTTAATCCACAGTAAAAAGAACTAAGGCAAAATCAATCAATCAGAGTTACCATGTCGGAAACCCACAGGGGCAGTTCTCCCCTGCCCTGTAGGGTCACTATGAGTCAGCCTCCACTAGAGGGCAGGGAGTTTGGCTTTGATGGGCCTGCTTCTCAGGACCACTGGTCTACCAGAGTGGAGGAGGATGCTTAGTGGAAGAGACACTGCAGGGTTGAAGTGCCAGGGCCGCTGGTCCCTGCCACACACGCCCACGGGCCCCAAACCTCAAGGCAGCTCTGTCCCAGTGGGGCTGAGGGGCAGCCGGTGGACCTCAGGCCCTGGGAGAGCTGCTCATGGCCCGCCCGGGGCTTGCGGGAGAGGAAGCAGAAAGAGAAGCCATACCTTGATGCTGCTGCGGAGAGTTGCCAGGTTAGGGAGACGGAGGAGAGCAAAAAGAAAGAGACAGACCAGTGAGGAGCTGAGCCACTGAGGGACACCAGGGACAGGAGGGTGGAAGGTGCACTGACCTGCCCCGGGCCCAGCCTCACTCTCACCCAAAGCCTCACACAGAGACACCCTTCCATACTCGCACACAGAGCCTCATATAGAGCCCACCCCCCATACTCACCCACAGAGCCTCACATAGAGACCAGCCCCCCCATACTCACACATAGAACCTCATCTTCTCAGCCTCATCTTCCACCCCCCCATACGCACACACGGAGCCTCACACACCAAATCACATCCTCACACACAGTGTTACACACACAATAGCACACATAGAGCCTTTCCCACATGCAGTGTCACACACTGTCACACCTTCACACACATGCATACACAGGGTCATACCCACAGAGCCTCACACACATGCACACAGTCACACATAAAGCTTCACACGCACACACAGTGTCACACACCCAAAGTCTCACAAACAGTGCCACACAGAGCCTGACATACCTGCAGAGTCACACACCCAGTGTCACAGGCTCACGCACACTCACAAACACAGTCACACACAAAGACCCTTACACATTGCCACACTCACATAAAGCCTCACAGAGTCTCATAAAGCCGCATATACACACAACCTCACACATATGCACGCACACCGCTCTCTTTCCTGGGCCCCACCACATGCAGGGGCGCTCTACCCCTTGCGCCCCGTCTCTGACCCCGAGCAGGAGCCAGACCCCTGGCCCTATCCCTTGGGGACGCGGATACAGAGCTCTGACGGACCGACCACCATCACCCTGGCCTGCAGAGCGGAGGTCAAGGCCCGCTCCAGTTTGTGTTCCAGGCCTGGCGTGTGTGGAACATTCCCCAGAGCAGCTGCCCCAGGAGCCCCAGGACACCCGGGGCTGGAGCACGTCACAGGCTCCATCCTGTGGGCAGGTGCATGTCCTCTACCAGCTGTGCCTCCGAGCCCCAGCCCACCCTGAGGACCAGACCCACCTGGCAGAGGGGGACACGGGCTGAGAGTGCGTGCCCGCCAGCACTCAGGCACCACCTCTCAAGTACAGCCAGGAGGTGCCAGGGGACAGACTAACCCCCCACCATCTGCAGGGGAAACTGAGGCCCGGCGCAGGGTGGTGGGGAGGCATTGAGGGGGGGTTAACGGGGAGGGTGTCTGGGGCCCTTGGGACTCACAACTCACCCTGAAGTGCTGGGCAGCACTTGGTTCGTGAGTAAGGGGTCAGGGAGCTGGGGGTGCATCTTTGGGGCACAGACCCCGGGCTGGGCCTTTTCTTCTGTCAGGCCAGGGGTCCTCCCAGCCCCTTCTCCTACAGCGGGGGCTTCCCCTCTGAGGCAAAAGAGGCCCAGTGGCAGGGTCAGGATGAGATCCCTAGCTTTCCCACAGTGGCAATCCCACGTTCTGGGGGTTGGAGGTGACTGGGACTTAGCTGGCTTCCAGTGGAAAACAGGGCCCCACCCTGCACAGGGCCTGCCCCACTGGCCCTGGGAGGTGGTACTGGGAAAGCCCGCAGCCCACTGGAGCAGCCTCTGGTGAAGACCGGGGAGCCGGGCTCCGGAGTGCTGAGCTTGGCTGCTCCGCCGTCCGAGGCTGTGTGGAGGCTGGAGGTGACTCTGAGCCTGACCCACCTGGTTCTTGGGGCCCAGTTCACACAGCAAGTGGGGGCCAGCAGCCTGGGGCCTTGGGGTGAGAGAGTAGGTAAGGAGGAGTCCCTGGGGGCAGGTGACCTGGGTGGGGTGGGGTGGGGTGGGACAGGACGCAGAGAGCCTGAGATCTAAGAGACAGAGCCGTGAGTTCTCTCCGGGCCAAGCCCGGGCACCAGGGCCCCAAAGGGCTGGGCTTGTGAAAACCGCCTCAGTGCATGCCCCCCACACAGCGTGTGACAGGAGTGGGGTGGGGGGAGGAGTCAGGCTCCGCTGGGGACAGGGCCCTGCCATTGGCTCTCTGGCCTCTCTGCAGCCTGTTTCAGCTGACAGTGGACTTGATATCAGACATCAAACCCAGACGTGCACGCTGGCTCTCTAACAGGGACCAGGGAATCAACCCAAGTCTCCATTTCTGTCTGTGGAATGGGGAAACTCCCTTCCATGGGCCTCTGTTTCCCCATCTGCATACTGGACAGGCCTGCTGAAGGGGTACTCTCTCATATATGCTGTGTGGGGCGAGCAGAGCCGTAGACTCAGAAACCTGAGGGCTGGGGTCCTGCTAGGGGAGACCCACAAACTGGGGCTGTCAGTCAGCTCTGCCCCCTTGCAGCCGTGCGGTGTGGTGGGAGCAAGCACAGGGCCTCCCTCAGGCCCCACCCTTCGTCTGTCCAGGGCTGGGACGGGGCCCACCACAGGTGGCCTTGTGAGTGCTGTTCCCTACAGAGGTCTAGGTGCATGGGAGGGGACATGTGTCCCCATGCTGTGATACTCAGGGGACAAAGATGATGACGGAGGGTCTAGCCTGGCTCCATGCAGAGGTGGGGCAGCAGGAAGTGCCTGCTCCAGGCCTGGCTGATGGAACAGTGGGCCTATTCCCTTTCCTGGGGACAAGCAAGGGTCTCAGAGTCGTCCAGCTGCTGGACTGCTACCATAGGCTAAGGCTCCGGTTCTCAACCAAGGTGCTATCTGCCTAGAGACATTTCTGGCCGTTGCACTGGGGGCAGGGTGCTACTAGCACCTAGTGCACAGAGGCCGGGAGTGCTGCTTAACATCCTATAGTGCACCGGGCACCCCCATACCTGCATTGCCGGGCCCAATGGGTCTAAACTGGGCGGTCTGCTTGGTCTAATGGAAGGAGCTCTCCATGGACCGCGGCTCACTCCTCTCACTGGACAAGAGGGTAGTGGACACATGCCCCTCCCCCTCAGCCCCCGCATGCGTGCTGGGCCTACCGTGTCGAGGTGGGTGCGCTGGTGCTTGGCGCGGTCGCTGGAGTTGCTGAAGGCCTTCTGGCAGCCCGGGTGCTGGCACAGGTACGGCTTCTCGCCCGTGTGGCTCCGCAGGTGGATCTTGAGGTTCTCCAGCCGCGAGAAGGCCTTGCTGCAGCCCTCAAACTGCAGGAGAGGCTGGTGAGGGTGAGCAGCAGACCCCGCGGGGCCCACCACTGGGGTACCCCAGCCTCCTCTGCTCCCCCCACCCCCAGTCCTACCCCAGGCTGCCCAGTCTCTACTTCCCGCTCACAACCTGGGCTCTGGACCTCAGAAGGTTTGTAGTTCCCACTGGGGTGCAGAAGGCAGGACTCCCTTCTGAATGCCTCCTGCACATACACAGCCCAGCCCTGATGGGGCCTGTGGGGCGCCGTGAGCCCCCATGCCGGACTCCAAGTCTACATGGGTTCAGGCTGTGTGGCCACTTCTCAGAGACTATCCTGAGGATCCTGTGGGTGCAACGAACTGTGCCGGACCCTCAGAGGGATTTGTCCCTCAGGCATGGCACTGGTGTGGACCTACATGGACAATAAGCGCATCTGCACACCCACACACCTTCTCCAGTTCCCACGTGGGGGCTCAACCGTCTGACGGCCTCCTGTACCAGGCCCTGTGTCCAGGGGCATCAAGGGGCACAGACATGGGAAGCCTCAGCCCAGTACAGGGAGTAGGAGTGAGTCCCAGTGGCAGCAAGGTGTAGGCGCTCCACCTGTGTGGACTCCACCTCTGTGGCCTCAGGCTGCCATCCCCGTACCCTCTGCTGGCTCCCACTTCTCTGCCTACAGAGTCCTCCACACATTCTGCTGGCCCGGAGACCAGACGCTAGCACTCCCCAGTTGAAGGCCTGCCAGCCAGCCTGCCTCACGTGCCCGTTTACCACGGAGACCACTAGGCCTCTCTCCGCCCACCCTGACTCGAGCAGCAGCCTCTGGGGTCAGCCAGGACTGAGCCCACCTGGCTGATGGGAGGTCACTCAGCAAGGACTGCTTCCCTCTCCCAGCTGTCCTCCAGTGTCCCCTCGGCCTTCGAGGTGAAGCTCACATCACAGGCTAGGCTTGGGTGCTGGACACAGACATTTGCCATGACACCTGCCAGGTGTGGTGCTCGGAGTCTCACTTCACAACCACCCTGGGAAGTCTGTGGGCTCGATGCCCCCATTTCACCGACAAATCCACAGTGGCTTCCTGTGGTCACACAGTGGGGACCTAAGCCCAGGTGGCTCTGCTACACTTTACTGCCATCCCAGGGGCAGGGGCAGATAAGATCGGGGGTGGGGGGGGTGGGGTAGGGCTTGGGGAAGGAATGGCCAGCTTCTCTCCGATGAACCACCAGTTTCTTCCCCAGGCTCAGGGTCAGAGTGCCCACCCCGATTAGTGCCCATCTGACCCCACCAGACAATCTTAGCCCTCTGAGCAGGGGCCAGCCAGGCCCAGTGACAGGCACCCCATGATTAAACGGGGGGAGCACTGGCCTGCTCTCTGGCCTTCACCTGAAGGATGGAGCTACGGGTCCCCACATGTGAGCCTGCGCTGGAACACTGGGTCCTCCTTCTTCTGAGCTGGGCATGCGTTCTTTGATAAGTGCTTCCCAGACCCTGGTGGGCTAGTGGTTACGCATTGGGGTGCTAACTGCAAGGTCAGCAGTTCAAAACCACCAGTTGCTCCTCAGGAGACAGGCTAGACTTTCTACTCCCATACAGAGCTATAGTCTTGGAAACTCCCGGAGGCAGTTCCACCCTGCCCTCCTGGGGCGACTCCATAGCAGTGTCTGGTTTTGGAGTTTTTCTACGTGGGGCAAGCACTGTGTGCATTTGGAGTCTGCTCAGGAGGAAGGAAGGCCTGGCAGTCCCATTGCAAAAAGGCATCCCTGAAGATCCCGGGAGCACCGCTCCGGTCCAACACACGTGGGCCATAATCGTTGCGATGGGCAACTGGACACTCCCTGCTGCTCTTATTGTGAGCTGACTGACGCGGCGGCCGTGCCTGAGAGGACTGTGAACAGAGTCCTGGTTGCTGGTCCGCCGGAGGCTCAGGGCCCCCAGTCAGGCGGTTCTGAGGGACATCTGGCCCCGGTCCCTGTCCTGGTGATGCTGTGGCACAGACAGAACCCGGAGCGGGTCCTACCCTCCAGGACCAGGGCCAGGCCTGAGGGCTGGCATGGTAGGAGGGAGACGCAGTCTCAGGCTACAGAGAAGGGCCAGCACGGAGAGAGGAGCAGGAGAGGGGGAACCCCCTCTCCTTCGCTATGTACGCCAACAATGACCCTGTCAGTCCAGTAAGTCATGCTCCACTGAGCTTTGAACAAGGACCCGGATTTCCAAAGAAGCCAATGGGGTGGCTGATGGGCCTGTGAGGCCCAGAGGGGCCTCCTCCCCTGTGTGGCTGAGTAAGGGGTATGTGTGTGTGTGGTGAGGTGGGGGAGAGAGGGGAGAACTGGTAGGGAGGTCAGAGGTCACCCCATGGGGCTCACAGGTCACACTGAGGGGCCTGGGCATGGCGCAGCAGGGCCTTAAGGGGAGGGGCAGGGCCAGGTGAACACTGTAGGAAGATCATCTGACTGTGGGGCTGGGGCAGGAGACAGGAAGGTCAATCAGTGGCCGTTGTAGCTGAGGGTCACTGAGCGGGGCAGAGGTGGGGGTGGTGGGAGTAGACACTCCTAAGAGTGACCGGTCCTGAGTAGGAAGAGCCGTAGAGGCAGCTCTGCTTCCCACTTCCAGACGCAGTGCCTCTCCGGCCGGCCGTGCATCAAACCCACCAGGAAGTCTTGTTGAGGCGTCTCCTGCCATGGCCTGGCGCCAAGCTGGCCTGCCGCCAAGGCGGAGAGGAGCCTCTGGCTGGAGAGTGGCCTTGCTCTCGGCATCCAGCTGCCCCTTTGCTCCTCCCAGGCCGGCGCGGGGAGGGCGGACATCTGAGCAGAGGGGCCATCACTCCTTGCGTGCTGCGTGACTCTTCTGCGATTGGGAGAGCCCCCGCAGCCCCCCTTCCCGACTCAGGAGATTCGTATATCATCCTCTCCCAGAAGGGGCCGCCTACCCCTGCCTGAGCCGGCCCAGGCGCCCTCCCCCCACCTTTGCTCAGGCTGGGCCCTGCTGGGAGTCCTTCCTTTCCCACGTAATTCGTGCTGTTTTTAAAAGTCTGGGTCTTCAGCTTGGCCCCCAAGATTTCTTTTGTCTATGCACATGCCCCCACACATGTCACCTGGCGGCCACGTGGGATAAACTGCTTCTCTCTGACGCTGCCAGGACTTTGCTTGGGCTGTGCCCTCCCTGGCTGGCTTCCCGCCTGGCACAGCTCCGGGTTTGGTGGGCGCGTGGGAAGGTTTTCAGAGCGCTCACTGCTCATTGGCACCCAGTCGATGCTGACTCAGAGCAGCCCGACAGGACTGGGTAGAGCAGCCCCCGTGGGTTTCCGAGACGGGAACTCTTTAGGGGAATGGAAAGCTGTGTCGTTCTCTGGAGGGGCAGCTGGTGGTTTCGAACAGCCGACTTGCCACCAGGGCTCCTTTTCACAGCACAGCCACTGCCGTCTCGCCTCCCTCAGGGCTGGGAGTTGGCGAAGGCACCGCACCAACTAGAGTTCGAGCTGTGAGACAGTGGGGATAGCAGGCAGGGGGTGCACTCACCCCTGCCAGCCACGTACCTCATCTAGGCGTCACCAGGCTGCCCTACACACGTGTGCAGATACAGCGAACCCTCGCCACTTCGCGCTTCGACTTCCGCGGCTTTACTCTATCACGGTTTTTGCGTAACAGCGCATGCTCTGTCATTACTGCCACTGATTGGCTCATACTGTACACGCTTCTGTCTGCAT